ATGCGAGTAAAAAGATGACGTTGTAAGTAAATTGGTCTTATGAAATGAAAGTTCTATTATTATGGGCAAGGAAAGTGAGATGATTTTGTTGTTAAAATAAGCAGAAGGAAGACTATTAGGTGAGTGTAGAGAAGAGAAGATGTGAGTAAAAGGATGACGTTGTAAGTGAATTGGTCTGAATTTGATTTAACAGTTACCTGATCGGAGACTTTTGTTACATCAAAACGAAACAACAATATTATGTGTAAGATATCAAGTCCATAACAAAGTGTTATGGATTGTTATGGACTTGAATAAAGGATTTCGGTGATTTTCATTTTTTGGGGGAAAATCTCATTACTTTTTCAACGTGCGAATCCAAAAAAAATTAAAATGATCGGATAGGATTAATAAAGTACATTATTTGACTCAGTTTTTGAAAATTACGTTCAGAATTCCGATTTTTTTGCTTCTGATTTAGCAATGGAAAATATAGTGGCTCTAATGAAGTAAAAAAATCGGCTTCATCTGTTCAAAAAAGAACCTGGATAGGTTTGCAAAATTATTTATAACTTTTTCCCAGTGAGAGCCCAAAACGTCCATATTGGATAGACCTTTGACTTCAACCTCGATCAAGCATCATTATCATACTTAGTTTTAAATGCTGAATCTGTAAACAATACTTTCAAAAAGTCAGAAGAACGAAAAAGAAAAGAATATAAATTTTTTTGAACAGAAGAGTTTTTCGAAGTTTTAGACTGAATGTTTTAAATTTTTCTTCCTTAAAAGAAATTTTGAAAAATTAAAAACCACTTTTCCGTACTCAGCTCGATATTCTCTATTCAACCATACATAAATATCTCAAAAAGCAATTCTTCAGAAATTTTGCATTGTCGGCACCTTAATTGCAGACTTAGTCTCAGTAACTACTAATAATGTCAGTAATAAAAGCTAAACTTTCGAGAGAATCATTTTGTAAGACATCTATGTACGTAGAGGAAATCTGAGCGTTCAGATTTCAAAAATTGAGTATTTAAGTTAATATTTTTCCGTTCTTGTTTGGGTATGAAGACATATTTTCAACAAAACTGCAACTTTTTATCGAAGGTATGAGAAAACAAACTAAAGATATTTACCTAGTACATGTTCGTACGCTTTACATTCATTGTCTTTACCCCACGAGACAATTGTCGAATGTTCTGTTGCTGGTATTGAATAAGCCGCTATTTGTCTTGAATTATAATAGTTTCTCGCTAACACACTGCCCGATATTGTATCTGAACCCATAAATGATGTTAAATGCGAAGCTGCACCAATAGCTGAAGTTTCATATGACGATACTCCACGAAAACCAAAGTCATGCAATTGAAATGGGATGAGATTAGGATCACCAGTTTTCTTCAATGATTTGAGTAAAATTTTTTTGATTTCTCTTGAATTTGATGCAATCGTTATTGGATACCATATTTGCAATAATAGTGTTTCTAAATATCCTGCTAAACTAAAACATTTTGGATCTGTATTTTCAATTGTCATTAAAACATTATGTAATGGTACAACGCTGCCTTCAGGTACAGCTTTTATTATGATGGGTAAATGTCCATTATGATGTTCAATTATATATTCCCACATTTCATAATTCACAAGATCTTGTTTTAAATGCTCTTTCCAGAAAGTAGCAGCTTCATCTAATTTCTCTCTTGTCACAACTTTGCCAACCAAATGTTTTTTCAATATATATTGTAAGCCAAAAAAGACAGTTGATTCATATGAACCACCACGGCTTTCCAAATAAGAATAAACGAAAGTTGTATTAGAAGGATATTGTTTCCAGTGTGATACTTTGTACGAATCCGTTTTTAATAAGAGATTGTCTTCCATGTTGTTTGTAAGGCTGTGTGTATCTACAAGAAATTGATGGTGTTTATCTATATAATACACTAAACCATTTTATATTGTATGCGTCACTGACGTGTGTAAAGTTTCAGTGAAATTTTTAAAGCGCTATCTCTTTTATTTTCGGTACCATTGCGTATAGAGAGAAAAAGAAACCAAACATTTTTTCAAATTAAGGGCAATTGTTTCTAAATAGAATTATAAAACTCTCTTATTCTTTTTTTAGTTATATATGTATGCGTGTGGCAGTCTGAAGTGTTTTCGGAATACATAAAAATTTACAAAAGAAAAAAAGTGAAGAAAAAATAATGCCGGTATGAAAACTTCATTGAAGTAGACAGATATACGGTTAATAATCACACTAGGAGAAAAAAATCGTTTATTTATTGTGCACTTTTCAAGAATAGTAGATGAACAATAATTCTGCTCACAAGGACTTTCCTCCCATAATTCTATTCCTTTAAAATGTGTATTTTCTCTCTCATAACACCACGGGTCCTTTTCTGTTGATTTCCTTTTATACAAAAAAGTTGTGAAACTGCAGGCGCGTAAAGATTGAAAACGTGTTTAAGTGAATGATAATCAAAGAAAGTTAGAATACTGACAAATTTTTTTTGAGATATTCAGAATCAAAAGTAACTGCGACAATGTTATAGATGGCAAATAATCAACTGACTCGTTACTTAAATCTAACCAAGTGAAACTGAAACAATTTATTGTTTTTTACCAGAAAAAAATTCTTCTCTCCCTTTTAAATCAGTCCATTCGTTCCAGGGGCGTCAAAAATGGATGAATGTAATTCCAGCGTACTTTCTAAGTTTTTGTTTTTCCTCCAGAAAAATGAATGACTTTTTGAAATACGAAAATGATAGTTTTTAAAAAGTCAGAAAAAATCGTTAGTTACTTGTTTCTATACACATTGTGAAAATATTCGTGAGAAAAATGATTTTACCCCCACTCTGACCTGAAGATCGAGGTACGTCCCTGACTTGTTCTCGGTTATATATGATTTCACAAACTACGGAGAAAAGATGATTAGGACTATTAACAATTGTAGATAAATATTCTAAAGTCATATTTTTGTTATTTGCTTTGATTAACCTGTAATACAATGAAGCATTTTTTCATCAATAGTTTCAAATATGTTTCTTTTTAATTTTTATAAGGAGCGAAAAAAACGTATTTTTTCTATTTTACTTTTACAAGCTTTTAAATAAAAACATGTTTGTTTAAGACCTTTAGTAGAAAAAAAATGTCGCATTCTACATCCTCTAAAATGAGTATTTTCAAAAACTTTGCTATTTTTGAAAAGAAAAATTTATTATCCTACATTGCTTCTATCAGAACCAATACTTCAACTTTAATATAATTATAAATGAACTGAATTATTAAATGGTTAGATACTACTTTTGTAATGTCACTGATCTAAAATTTTTCAAAGAAGAGTAGCAATATTTTAATTCTTTGACTCAATCAATGTTCTAATCTTCCCAAAATGACGCTAGTCTCTGTCTAATTCATAATGACAACAAAAAACTAATTACCTTCTCAAAGATAATACATTAGCCATTTGTGCCTATAGAATTATGTATTGTCACTTTTAGAGACTACTTTCAATACATAGACATCTGTGAACACTTCTAGTACCTATTACCATGTCTATACACAATAGATATATGGCGGCATGAACATTGTAATAGGTGCGAAAAAAGGGTAAATGTAGATGTCTATGTTAAATAGAACTGAACTAAACGCTTCTAAGTATCGCTTGACTATTGATTACCCTAGAAAACTAGCGAAGTTTTTGCACACACATGTATTTTGTGGGGCTTATTATAGGTTAATTAAGATACATAACAACAAAAAAATGACTTGCACAACCCGATCTGACCCCAGAGTTCGAGTTCAACTTTTCACGCTAAGATATTTTAGGGAACTAACAAGTAATCTCTCTGAGCAGTCTATGCTAGCAGCGAACAATATCTGTTGTTTTGTATGAAAAAGATAAAAAATGTTGTATATTAAATGAAAGGTATCGTCCCGTTTCGTCGACAAATCGGGCACTTCAAAGAATATACATCAGAGAATTTCAAAGGCGGGAGAGGCGGTGTGAGAGTGAGTGTCGACGAAACGGGACTGAATCCAAATGAAAGAGTGCGCAAACAAGATGCTATCATTATCTATAAAAAAGATTTATCTACAAAAGTAAGTGTTTTACCTACAAGTGTCAAAAAATTTTTTCTAGTCTAGTTGTTTTTCATAGAATTGGACTGGGTAATGAATGAGTGACTCGAAAGTAAAGTTTTTTACTAAAAAGTAATGTCTTCTCTTATTTCATTTAATCAGTTTAAAGATTGTGATCAAAACAAATGATATCCGTTAGGCTTATGGGAGATACACATTTGAATAATGACAATGTTGACGATGCAAAACCGATATAATGCGCGATGATTACTTCGAATCTTTTCGTTTACATAAAAATTTCAGAGAGACTACGTAACTTTAAATAATCATAATCAATATGATAGACTATATATCGATAAACCTCACGTAAATAAATACTGCTCAATTAAAACCGAGACGTTTTCATAATTCGATGACATATATCGAGGCTTCTCACCGAAATCAATTATTTTAAGTTGAGTTTTAACATTCATAAGCCCTTTTCAAATGTTTTCAATTCTATACTGTATTTCAACATTTGTCATTATTATTTTAAATTTCTTTGGTTGAATTGTACATGATTGAACATTTACATACCCAACTAATTTATCATATGAACCAATAAAATAATGATTTGTTGTCGATACTTTTCCTGGAATATACGACGGGATGATCATTAATTCATTAAAAAACTTGAATTAAATTTGTTCCATCAATCAGACATTTGTTTTTGAACAAGATAAACGAATAAAATTGATGGGAAACTATTAGCGGTAATATCTCTCTCTACCTATCACTCATCAAACTATGAATATAACGAAAACTTTTAAATTATTTCCAAAAGCTATATCGGATAATAAGTACACTGATGATTGATCTTATGAAATGTGAATGAAGACCACTAGAAGAAAATAAAGAGAGCGAGAAGATACACAATTTATTGATACGATTGATAGTGACGAGTATGAATGTAGCTGTCGAAATTGATGGGTATCCTCAAAATTATCGTCATTAGAGGCGAATAATTAAGAGAGACGATTTGAACTATTATTTGCGCGAGATTTATTATTATCTATTTAACACCTCAATTATTAAATCACTTTAAAAAAGCTGGTTGATAGCATTTAAAACATATAAGGCAAAAATTCAGAGAGGATAATATAACAATATCAAATTCGATATATCTGTTACTTTAGAGTAGCGAGATGTAATGGCATATAATAATAATGTACGTATATGCACCAGTTCCAGTTTTTAAATGTGAGAACTAGATCTGTCAGGAACTGTTGGAAAGAAATTTCGAAATGAATTCTTAAGAAATTTTACGTTATATTGAAGAAAATGCAGGTAAAAATTCAAAAGTCTTTTAATAAAAACGCTTTTTGAAGCTGAAATTTATAAACTATAAGTAACTGATTATAAAGCTTATAATTTACATAACTCACTGACAATCTCTATGAACGAGTGCCTCCACTTAGAGATGCGTAAAAAGCAGAGTTGGGCAAACCACGGGGTTTCCAATTCATAAGTCAAGTCAAGTTAACAAGAATTATCCCAAGTCATGAGTCATAAAATTTTCTCCCAAGTCAAGTCTCGGATTTTTCCAAGTCAAGTAAAATCACAAGTCTTGACTTTTATTTTTCGTAGAAAAATGCTTAGTAGACTTCGATGTTTTCTGTACAAATACCTAATTATGTATTTTAACTTAAAATTCGCCACAAAAAACTGATTTTCTTAGTTGATGACTTGGCTTGATTTTTCAGATCAATTCACAAGTCACAAGTCTTTTAAAAAAATCTCCAAGTCAAATCGAGTCATGAGTCAAAAATAACTTGACTTGCCCAGCTCTGGTAAAATATTCAAAAATCAGTGGAATTTCAGCAAGGAGGAAACAGCGGACTCCGGAACTCCAAAGGACTTCAAAGTCGTCTGGAGTCCCATGGAGTTCTATGGAGTCCCATGAAGATTATGAGATCAAATACATTGTTCTGTCGAAATTCTCAGAGACGAAAGCAGTGAGTAGATGAGGAAGTAATTTTATCGATTATCAAGCTAGATTGCACAAATATCTGTTTATTAAAACGGAAAATGCAGAGAATATATAGTCAATAATCAAACTGAAGCCTTAGAAATACAAAACATTCAAGGACCCCCACCCTTCAAGAATCCTTTTTTTCGAGAGCACTCAATCTTCGTGAAATACTAAATATGTGCCTGACCTTAGATAATTCTTAATAGAAATTTGAGCAAATAATATTGACTTCTTCGAGAGTTATCCTAACATTAACGATAAAAAAGCAGGTGTCCGTCTGTCAAAGATTTTCTTTCAATTTTAATGCTGCAGACTTCGGGGTGGTGTCAGAATGCAGAGAAGACTTGCCCCTACAGCATAACAAAGCCAGTTCTAAAAAAAGAACTATTATTTGTTTTTTGGGAAGGTTTTTCGAAAGATTTACGTTTACTAATTAGAAAACTGGATTTTTTCGTAAACAACTACATTGAAAACAAAAATTCTGGCTCTGTTAGGTTTTAGCACTGAGCTTTAGCTTCATTTTAAAACCTTCCCGACTAACCTAATATTTTAAATGACGGAGACATCTTTGACGCACAATCAGGTAAGACAGAAAAAACAGTTTCCAGAACAAAACAAAATAAGTATCTTCTTTGATTATCGCGGCTTTTCTTGAACACTGGTAGACGAAAAACTGAAAGCAGTTGGTCGTAGGTTATCGACGATGGTGAATCGAATGAGCACATGTAGAGACATGTGCGACATACTTTTTCCCATATGTAAGCGTTGTTTCCACGGAAAACCCATCAAAAATCACTAGTTTATGAAAAAAAGACTATAAATTTACCTGCATCTGATACGTATAATATAACTGGTGTTTTGAATAAGATACTACAAAAAAACACGTAATTCTTTCATCACGACTTTTTCAAGAAAAAAAGATTTTGATGTTGGATTTCTCAGAAAAACTTCTTTAAAACCCTGGTAAAACCAATAAATCGTAAGGTGTTCGAAAGTAAAAATCATAGGCTATATAAATATGGATAAATGTCAAAGTCAATATTTTTGTCGAAAATTGCTTTTTTCGAAGGGGGAGCCTTAACATTAATTTTTTGATCATTTGAAAGTAGGGAATAAACAGCGCAGCTGATGCATCGCCAACCGAAGTATGTTCTCATTTGTTAACAGAATCGAGCGTTACATATTATCGGTAGGCATGTACTGAGACCGAGACTCTCGGACGAGACAGTCTCGGGCCCGGTGTTCTCTCGTTCCCGCTCGAATCTCTGTCTCGGTCTCGATCCGTCTCGATCGCGATCGGTCTCGGACTCGGTCTTGTTTTGGTCTTCTCGGATTTGTGGATTTTTTTCTTTCAATTTCTTTCGCATTGTGCCTTTTTCGCATCTCATTAGTGGACGGATCTTCGATGTTGATCATGCTAAGTTCTTAAAATTGTCTCTAAAGGCCTAGATTATTAGTGAAAATGAAGCTTTTCTCGCCAAACGACTCGAGAAATTTACAAAGATGTCTATAGAATGAGAACCGGAAACGAGACAGGCCGAGATCGTGAGGTTCGGTCTCGGTACATGCCTAATTATCGCTTCGAGACCGGCATCAGCAAGTAGTTTCGAAATTGGGTTCTAGTATTTCCATTAACAACGAGAAAATTTCACATTGAGCAGCGAGCGTTGTCACAAATCATATTGAACCACGATTTCTAAACTACAAGAAACATCTTTTTTCTTGTGCCAAAACAACCAAGCTATTAAAATTCATTGAAAAGTATATCATTTCAAGACCTTGAACGACGTTTCTAATGGGATTTCGTGGGACTCCAAAGGACTTCAAGGGACTCCAAGGGACTCCAAGAGATTGGAGTCCGCTGTTTCCCCCTTGCTTATAGTCCATCAATTCCAGCTTCAAAGAGCGTTCCTATTACAACACGTTTGAATTTTTACCTGCATTTTTTTTCTCCAGTAGAATTTAAAATTTCTTTTGAATTCATTTCAAAATTTTTTTCCAACAGTTCCTTGCAGTAACTGGAGCTGGTGCATATTTAAATGTAATACTTTTTGCATTAAAAACTTTGACAAAAACTTGTTCTAAAATCACATGCAGCTAAACTAGTGTGGATGAATACATAGGTCAACCTACCATTGGCCGCCGCCGTATTCTAATACTGAACAAAAATTGGCAATAATTTGTATCGTTGATCATTGGTATAATGTACCACATATGTATGCAGTATAAGTATTGCCACTTTTTTTCCAGTGATATTTAATCGTTCTGGTATTCCTTGTCTCAACATCAAATATGACAAGTGTTTCAGGTTGGTTTTTTTTTCATTGGTAACACTGAGTATTAATGTTGATTATTACCATGACTATTTCTCCACAGGAGTTTTCTAAATATACAATACAACTCACAGCTACTATCAGCAAAAAAATCTATCTGTCTCCCATATGTTCGAATAACTCACAGGTAAATTAAATAGAAATAAACTTTATTACCTTATTAAGTTTTTAATAAAAATCTGATAGGTGGTTACAAATTTGACTTCTCATGAAAAGAATGACTTTGCTATGAAGCAACTGACTGGAGGTAGGAGAAAAATTAGAAATAACAAACTGACAGATAAATAGAACCTTTTGCATTAAAAAGAAACGTTCCTATAACGTAAACGTAGCAAAAAACATATGAAGCTATTTATCGCTAAAATATTACATTATAACGATGGAATGTCTTGATAATCTGTTGATAAATTTAAATATTATTTGTATCGATTGAACATTTTCTTAATAAATCCAAATGATTGCTGATATCGACTTTGTTCAGTGACTGGACATGTTCTTAAACTAACTACATCTAAAAGTAAACACAAAGTATTTAACTTAACATATACGTATTGAGTCTATCTAATCGGACGACAGGAATTTCTGATTATTATTTCTCCATTCGGGATGAAAACACTCAAAAACTCTAATCAAGAGCGTTCTTCGGTATCCATCTCATACTTGGAACAAGCCTTCTTTTCAAGACTAATACGAAATCCATAATATAAAAACAAAAATAGTAACTAAAAGGAGTATAGGAGAGAAATGACCTTATTGTTTTTTTGTTTGTGACTCTTGATGGATAAGTCCTACGGATCATAACAAAATCATTTAACAATTGTAAAAAACATTGAAGACTGGCGAAAATGGTTACAGATCTCACAATGTTCGGATCTATCTTCAACTGACAAACTAAGTTTCATTAGCCGTACAAAAATTGAGAACAAACCGCTAAGAGGCAGTTATCCAAATTTAAACGATTTTTTCATGTAGGACCACACCACTTCACCTTAGTGATAGTCATCAATAAATAAAAAAGGTTCTTTTGTCATAACAATAGAATATTTCAGCAACTAATGCAATTACTTTATTTGATTTAATACAGAATTTATCAGACGACACTGTTTTATACGATATATGACAATAGATACTGCTAAATAAAAAATATATAGATGAAAACTACATACTTTGAAAGAAAAGAGACAGACAGAATGAATGAATACAAAAGGTATAAAGAGATAAACAAGTCTTTGTTTGAAGGTTAAAAAAGTGAGACATGTAAAATTATATTGACTGCTGTAAAATATCAAGCAATTGTTTGATGAAATTAATTTTTTTTTGTAATTCATATATCGGTGCTAGTTGAATACTCAACTGCTCGGCCTGTGCCATTAAGGCATAAATTGTTTTTATATTACTTTCTATAGTTTCATTTAATTTTTCACCAACAACATCGCGATAAGTTTGGAGACAACAAACACTTATTGCTGACATATGATGTAATGATTGTGTCATTTGCTCAATGCACTGGACAAAATCACTGGCAACATTTTTAGAATAAAGTTCGATATCGTCGAGTATTTGTTTATCAATTGGTGGAATTAAATGAGGATCAGTCATCGATGTTGTAGTGGGTGGAGATATCGAACGAGGAGTGATACAGGTGGAAACGTCAACAATTGAACTACTTAATGATGATGAATTTGGTCCACTTGTTGTGGTTGTTGCTGCGCTTGGTGTCTCATCTCCATTTTTATTTAGGAATGTTGACGAACGCAGACGATCAGTTATATCGTCAACGACAAATGTCACAAATTCTGTACTACTCGAGCTAGGAATTGGAGATGAAGCGGACGAAACTATTTGTTCGATTAATTCTTCAACCAGTAATATTATGTCATTATCGATTGACATATTCGACTCATTCATCTTATTTAACTCATCTAAAGAAAAACACTAATCACTGGGGTGAAAAAAACTGACTAAAAGTTGATTTTGACTTTTAAAACGTATGCATGTGTACGTTTCTATTAAGCATCCTCACCAGATTGATGATCTTTGATGGTACTAGTTGAGAGAACATGTTGTTGTTTATCATTCATTTCTTCAGTGTCTGCCATACCGTCTATGGCTTTCTCATATGTTTTATTCAGTTCTTCACAATCACCTTCTACATCGTTCATTACAACTACCCGTACTAATAATAACACATCTAAAATAATATAACAGAATATGTCAATCAATAGGGATTTAAGGCATCAGTAATATCACATTAAGGAGAGAAACTTTATTCTAAATTATCTTACTCTCTTTACTTCAGTTCACTTGTTGACTCTGAGGAAAGAAAAGGGTTGCAGCCTAGAAAATTAAGGGTACGTGATATGATATGACAGCAAAACATAGGAAGACACCTGGTTGGTATTATATGGACAGGACCAATAGCAAATAAGAGAGAAAATCAGCGCTACATTACTGTCTTTCTGTTTTTTGCAAAAGAAAACGATACAATTTTGAAAAGAAGGAGTATAGAAGGATGAACACCCATAGAGTGACCCATGTTGGCTATCATGATAAAGTCACGGCCCGAACGCGTAACGCGATCGCTTATAGACTCGCGAAATTTCTCGCCAGTTTCGCGATCGCTATAAAGTCACGATGGAACTGGATTTTTCCTATATAGTCGCTACATTCGCGACGCGACTCCTTCATTTTCTCCTTTTAGTGGGCGCGACACTTTGTTCTCGCCAGATACGGGCGAGTCCGAGTCATCACATTTTTCTATGACTCGGACTCGAGGTGAAAAACTTGATAAACTGACCCGAGTCACTTTCGAGTCAGTCATGTGCAAATTGGGATTGCTATGACGACGTTTATTATGTTTGTTATATACCAGAAGAGGAGAGATTTGAGAATATTCTAAGTAGTACATTGTGGCACATGAGAGGATTGAAGACCTGTTCTTGGCAAAATGAATCAGAATGAAGTTTTATGACTCGAAGTGACTCGAGGTGACTTGAGTCTCTTTTTGATACGACTCGGACTCGGACTCGGACTTCGACTCGAAGGCTACTGACTCGGACTCTACTCAGACTCGAAAAAGTGGAGACTCGCCTATTTGTTCACTGTACACAACAGTTGCAGTGAGAGAGTAGGGATATATAAAATCCTTTCTATTTTACTGTCGCACAGTTGCAACTTTTCTCCATTCATTTTGGGTATCAAAAGGGGTTCTTCTTTCTCATGAAATGCACCAAATATACAGGCTTTCTCAGTATAAAGACTCAGTTAATGTTTGCTGTGTAAAGATCTCAAAATAAAACTGCACAGAAGTAAGAAATGCATAAAAGATTGATATTATAACAATTGTGAGTATCCTCGGTGTAATATCGCTTTGCCGTTAGTGACTCTCAGGATGTAGCGATGGTCAGTTCGGTTCTGTTTGACGCGCGGAGGATTGGAGCTTAGCCATTCCCCCTCATTCGCAGAATATTAGATTGGCTCTAATAACGAACTGATCCTAGCGATAATATCTACGGATATACATTCTCTGAAAGTCCAAGCGTGAATGTTTTCTTCACATATGACAAACGTTACCGTATGGTAAAACTCACAGACGAACTATAAAACATTTAACCGTTCTCACTTTTATTCTGAGATGAAATGCCAGTTATATGGCAAACCATAATTGAGAAATACATGAGAAAAAACTACTAATATGGTTCTTATAAGAAGTAGAAAGGATTTAAACAAAGAGAGAGCGTGTTAATAAAACTACTGTGTACTAGTTTGATCTCAACTTCAAAGTGAGTCTAAGATGAATGATTGACCCTGATTGCATTATGTTCCCGAA